AAATTCCAAATTAATGTTTTAAATTTTAACCATCGAAATTTGTCGCCGTACATCCATCACATGAAAATAAAATTATACTACTATAAAGACAATTAAATTATTTTATTTTTGTAGTGAAACTATATTAAGACTAAATCATTCAAATAAAAAGTAATTTTATATGGAATTTTGAATTTAAGGATATCAATCTTATTAAAATTTGATGGAAATTTTGATTTTATTTTTCTAATAGAGATGGAGATAGCATTAAATTTTGAGGATAAATATGATTTTAAATTTTTTATCCAATACGAATATAGAAATGAGTAATATAACATCAATCTTGTTCTTGTACTTTATATATATTTAATAATGTAAATTTATTTTAGACTTATTAGAACTAATATATTTATATTTTAAAAAATACATATTTATAAAAAATTATTTAAATAATAAGATAAAAATAAAAAAAAAAATTTTATTTTTTTAAAGCCATATATATAAAAACAAAAATAATATAAAAAATAAAAGATGAAGATAAAAAATAATTTACTTATCACATATTTTATCAATTGACATTCTTACTTTGCAATTACTCCCCTAAGTCAAAGTATAATGATTTTTAATATTTTATTCCATGACATTTTTTTTTTTATTTGGATGAAAATGACATTTTCCATTTCGAATTTAAATGGTTTGCCCTCTAAAAGAGGCAAGTCCCAACTGCCAAGGTCTGGCGTCCTTAAGGTTTTTTCTATCAGCGCGATGGGTGGAGTTCACATCACATTAAAATTGCGTTTTTAACTTTTTTATGATTGGACGAATCATAAAACCAAACTGTAGAAATGGGGAGAGTCTTTCTTATCACAATGATAAAGAGAACCTTAAAATGCAAATGCTCAACCATGGTGTTTGGTCTCAGAAAAATTAATGTTTGCCAAGGTGCTCCACCACCTACCTTTTTAGTAAATCCCCTAAAAAGTATTGCTTAGTTGAATACTCATTATACATATCTTTATTATTTTACCTTCCAATTCTAATTAATTTTTAGGTTTTCCTTTCAGTACCTCATTTCAAAATAGGGTTATGTGTTTCTTACTTATTTGCAATAAAAAATCCTTCAATTTTAATATTAAATTTTCAAAATTTAATGTGAAAAATATTTAAGCAAAATTTTCCTCTCTAAAGAACATGCAAAAAATTAAATCTTTTAACTTGAGACAGAAGAAATATATTTTTTATTTCTAAAAATTTATGGAGTGACATTGTTTTTGAATTTAATATTATGGTCCCAAATGCCTATAAGGACGTCAACCAGTTGGAAAAAAAAAGAAGAAGAAGAAGAAGAAGAAGAAAGGAGTATATCGACAAGAGACTCATCCTAAAAATTTTCACTAGAACCACAAAAACATTTTGAGGAAAAAACACTTTTGTCCCTCTGTTCCTGGGCCAACCCAACACTAATGTGACCAGCAGTGTTCTAATTTTCTTTGCCACAATAAATGAAATATACATTTCATTAATCACAATAAATGTGCAATGAAAGTTTAAAGATATATGAAAGAGTTTGATAATGAAGTTCTCTTAGTTTTTTTTTTTTTGTTTACCTTCTAAACATAATGTTTATTGCATATTTATCATTGTCATGCTTTTATATTTGAAAAAATCTAGTGTATGTCATAGGTTTTATATTTAAGTAAAAACTATTAAAATAATTTTGAAAGAAAAAAAAAAAAGTAAAAGTGGTTTGTTTTAGCTACCATACCTTAGAAATTATAAGGTAATTAGAGAACTCTGAAGATTAGTTTAAAAAGAATCTTTGAACAAAAGTTTTGCTGTTTAATTAAATATTGTATGTTGTAGTAAAAATAAAAGTTAAAATGGCAAAGTAAAAGAATAGTGATTAAAGCACTTTATTAAGATAAAAATATCTAAAAAAAAGGCAAGCGGTGAAATAAAAGAGGGTCAGTTGGAAAACAAAGATAGTCTTTTTTCTTTTTTTTTTGAACAATGGGACTAGATGGTGCAAGCAAATGAATTCTCTTTAAAATAGGGTCAATCTTGGGTCGACAATTCAACCAATCTCCGACGAGTTTCGATCTGATTCAACTATATGAGATTGAGTTTTTTTTTTTTTAAATTTGAGTTTTGGATCGGATCGGATCGGATAAGGTTAAGAAACAATCGGGGTCAGGTCGGATTCGAATTTTAAATAAATTCGATTCGACCCGATCCGATATTATATAAAAAATTATTTTTTAATTAATTATTTAATTTTTTATTTATATATATTTATATAATAAAATTTTTAAATATTTATATTTTAAAAATAATATTTTATTAATTTTGAATTGGATCAAATCGAATACAATTTATATAATATCAGATAAAAATCGAGTGCAAGTATGAAAAAATAAAAAAAATTCAGATTGGATCGGATTGAGTTGGTTCCAACAATTGCCAACTAGTCATTTATTTATTTTAGAGTAGTCGTTAATTTATACTTTGTTTGGAATGCTGGAATTGAAACTGCCCTTCAGTTTTTAATTAGTTAAGGATTTGGATCCAGAATTTTGCCTTTTTGGTATTAAAAAAATTATTAAGAAGTGCCCATCTAAGATTAATTTTAAAAATATAATTTAAGTATTAAATAAATAATAAATACTTGCAATCGTTTAAATCTACTTACGGAATTAAAACATTTCATCATCAATTAGTTAATAATCCTAATTATTAAAATAAAAATATATAGATAAATTTTTTGTTGTGCATAAAAATATGTTTTAAAATGTTCTTTTGAGAGGGAAAAAATATCAATTATTGAAATTTTATGGTGGCGTTGCATTAATTGAATTCTTATTTCAGTCCCAAACGATTACAACACGTGTCCAACGTGAATGCTGCAGCCAGGGCGCGGGTGTCGGCGGTGCCTGTTGGCTTTTCCGTTTTCTTAAATTCCCTTGAATCAATGTAGTCAACTTTTAATTTTCATTGCCATTTCAATTGGAGACATCAACTAATGAGAACGACCTGTTAGAGAGCGGCTTTTTAAGAAGTAAGCTTTAACAAGCTTGGGGAGGATTGACCCAATTGTCATAGGCTTTATCCAAAACTAAGATTTTCAGTTTTTGTGAACTTGGGATAGAGCCTATTTGATTTATTAGACTCAAGCTTAGCTTGGATCTTGAGTTTTGGTCCAAATTTGCCAACACAATCATCAATTCTTGGACTCAATTTTGGGCTACGAGAGTAAACAATGCGAGTACTCAAAATTTGACCTTGACAAAGTCAAAACCCAATAGTTACCCCATATATTTATTAAAAATAATAATACGAAGCAGTTTCTGTTAGAGCCAAGAAAGATTTTGAGTTGGTAATGATTGAATATTTTAATTATAAGAGTTAGCTTCAATTTTGGTTATTAGTAATTTTTTTTTATAAATGATTTATAAATCTAATATAAATTTTTTTTTTTCTGAAATCTCCAATCTACTCGGATGTTAGAATAGAGAAGCCTCTCTTTATTTTAAACTTAAAAAAATCGCTCATCTTCGAATATGGTGGAGGAAGGTCATTTGGAAATTGTCAGTCCCGACTTAGATAAGGAACTTTCTTCAGAGATCCTGTCATGATGCAGCGGCAACTAACCACAAACTTATGGAAGAAAAAGGTGAAATTGTGTCCTGTTTGCCCATTTTGTAAGTCAGAATTTGAGACTATTGAGCTTATATTGCTATCTAATGAATGGACAAAAGTTGATCTGATTTCCTAAAACTACATGAAAAAAGGTTACTTGAATCTTGCCTTTGCCTTTAAGCTGCATATAATTTTGTTTTTAACCTTGTTTGGAATTCAACTCAGTAAAAATCTCCATTTCTAACACAAGATCACATACCCTGTTTGAAAATCACAATTATGAATTTTAACTAGGTAGCCAAGATTGGGCTTAGACTTGAACTTTAAACAAGAATGGCTCTCCTCCTCTCTTTTTTTTTAATATTTTTTTTATTTACATAAAGCGAGAGAATTGAGTTCAGCAATTTAATAGAAACCCTCTATTAAATCTTTTATTTATTTAGGTTTTAGTCGACTCACATACGTTGATCTTCTCTCCACACAATCCCAGCCTAGATTAGTTTGATGAATGATGGAAGAAATCTTCAGGTTGTTGAGGCAATTTTTCCGGTAGGTGATAGAATTGACAAGATGTTGACACAATTCTCGCTTGGTGGTATATTGTCCCATCAATGTCCCTATTGAAATTTTGTTGCCACAATCAAAGCATTACTTAAAACATGCCCCCCGCAATACCTATCAAACCATATGATTAGGAAGTCCATTCAACTTTTAGAATAATCAAACTAAGTGATTTAAAATTTTGTTTGAGTTTAATTCTTTTTTAGAATTATCTTAAAAATGTATTTTTTCTTTTCATATTAATTTTTTTACATTAAAAATTTTTATTTTTACAATGCATTCATGAAAATCGAATCCCAATCCATAAGAAAAACAATTTTCATTCCTCATCAAAGTTGACATGATTTTAATTTCAATATTTCCTAGGCTTTTTAATACTAATCATTACCTGCAATGAAGTTGCCCTCTAGGTTGATAGAGTTGATTCAAATTTGGAGGATTGAGACGCATTGCCAAATGCTTTAAACAACCTTACGCATGATCGCATTTGATTTTGATTATCTAACCAAATTAGCTAAGAAGCTGTTGAAGTTTTTTAGGGATTCGTTTTTAAAACAAAAGTTCAATTCTCTGCTACATTTCATAACTTAAATTATAAGGGATTCCTGTCAATTTGGTTCATCAACCATGATATCTATGGCAAGCCTACTTTTGCTTGAAATTTAAGACATAAAACCATTCATTTTCTTTTAACAACTTTAAACAACTTTTCCATGTGTCGAATATTTCCTTCAAAATGGCAATTTCTAGTTGTTCAATTACCATTAGCAAGCTTGCTAAAATTTCATATATCAATATCCCAATATTTTACTGTTCATGACAGCAGTTGGAGAGGGCTAAATGTTTCATTGCAAATAAAGAAGCAAAAGATGTAGCAACATTAAAGTGGAAATTTTGAATGGAGGAAATTATAGAATTGAAGGAAATTTTGGAGAAATTCAACTGAAAATAACAAATTATCAAATTCCATTACTGATATCAGAATTTGGTTTCTACTAACAAATGAACTGCAAAAAGAATTCTCATGAAGAGAAAGAAAAAAAATTAACACAGACTCCAATGACTAATGACCTTTTAAGGACCTACCCATTACTAAAACCTACAACCTTGCTAACCCTTAACCTGCCATTTTCTCTACCCAACACCCCCCCACCCTTTTTTTTTTCTTCATTCTCTCGTTACAATCCATCTATACCATCTAAAAATATTGGTCATCTATTGCTCCTATTCCCTCATTCCAACCCTGTACAAAAAAAAAAAAAAAATTGAACAAAGATCAAATAACAGTAAATAATACAAGGGGAAAAAACAGAGAGAGAGTGAGGGAAACAGAGAGGAGAAAGATTATCCCAACAAAGGGAATTTTCACAATTCTCTACACCCTCCCTCATATATAATCTAATGCTGGGTTGGTTTTATTTGGAATCAGCTCTGGTGAATTGGTGGTGACCATTGTTGTGGTGGGTGCTGCACTACTTTTGGTTCTCATCTCGATCACTTTCTTATGGGAATTGGAGTGCAAAGATGGAACAAATGTTGGACTTGCCGCAGGCCGGTACTCCGGGAAGAGCCTGCCTGACTTGTAACGCACGCCACAAGCATTGCAAAGGGTTTTCGGCCCCATTGGCCCAGCCCTCCATTGCGGTGTCTTTGTTATCTCACAGTGCATACATTTCCTAACTGCTTGTCCTGATGGATTTTGAGTATTATAGGCAGGAGCAGCTGAAAGTGACAACTTGATCTTCTTTTTTTTCTTATGTTCTGGATTAACTTGCCTAGGTATTTTGATCAAAAGTCGAGACTCTGCATAGTTCTCAGAGTCTGAAGGCACCTTGGGGACGACAAACGGCTGAGGAACATTATTCTCATTGACAGATGAAGTAGGGGAGACAAGCTGAATCGCCGGACGAGGATTGAATGTGGCAGGGCGGGGACGTTTGCTACGTGCACGTCCGGGCCTTCCTGGAGCAGCCGTCTCAGGACTTGGCGGCAATGTTTTGTCCCCTGAGCAAGAGCTGCTGCTTTCCAGAACAGAAACCGGGCTGGATGTCTGGAATTGGTGATGGGAGGAGTCCTTATTGATTGAAGAGGACTCTTCTTTCTTAATTGTCAAGCTTGCTCCACAATGAGAATCTTCAACAAAGTTTGACAACCACTCCAATTGAACAATGTCTTCGTACTGCAAAAACAAAACTACCCAAAGCTTTATTCACGCAACTGTAATCATAAATAAGACTATATAATTAACAAGTTAATCATAAATAAGACTATAAGTTTTATTTGACAAAAGGGGAATTCGAATCTGCTTATACAGCGAGCATAAAAATACATACATATATTATTGAATTAAAAGTTTATACGCATGAATTAGACAATAATCGATCATAATTACACCAAATCAAGCATTTGAAAATCCTCAAACTTCAGCCTAGATGGACTAGAATTTCGAAGTGGCTATTATATTGTTGAAGTTTTGAAAAATAAAAATAATTTTTATAATACAATGCGTTACGAAATTTTTTTTGCCACCTAAGCATGTCTAACTAATCACATGGTAAATCACGTGACTTCATAATTGAAGCAATAATTATGCCACTAAATAATGCAAAACTCCTGGGTGGATTCCACATTTCCACCGACGTAGCCAACAGTCAATATCACAAACAAATAGATAAAAATCATTAAATTTTTATTAAAAAATCCCATTTTATCTAAGGCCCCACAAAATGAGTTAAATTCCAAAAACCCAAAAAAAATTCCAATTTAATAAATAAAACTCGCCATCACTATAATAATAATAATAATAAAAAATACGACACTTACCGGTAGGGAGAGTTCCGCAGAGAGGTCGGGAGCGGTGTTGTTGGAAAAAACCGAGTCAGAAGCAGGAAATGACTCGGAATGAGCAGTCCAAATGCCAGGAAAAGCGGCGGCGTTGAAGGCGGATCCGGATGCTGATAAGCCAGGTTCGATATCCTCGTTAGGGAAGTCGAGGAGATCATCTATGTGGTCGAAGAAGCTGCCGCAATCTATCTCATCAATGAAGTCCGTTGGTCCAATCATGTTTTTTATGTTAATAATTTAAAATTCCTGCAAAAAAATGTAAAATTATTACTATTTCTGCATGTAATTTGTGAATGTCTACCCTTTTTATATGTAAAGCAAAGCGGCCACCGCTCAATGATTGAGCCGTGTGGCGCATATTAGCCCACTTCCTCGAAATGTCTCCGCCGTCACATGTTCAATAATCAATTTATTTTGAAACAAAAAATGGATTTATATGTTTGAAAATTGAAAATTCAAATTTGGGTTACTTTGAGTTGGAAGTTTTGAAAATTTTAAGGAAAATATGTTTTTTTAATGGAAAGTGAATTAAAACTTTCACACATGGATTAAGTTAGTACAAGGTGGTCCAAGGGCAGCTCAAATTTGGTTTCTTTGCAAAATGGGATTATTTGTTTTTAAAATTCTTTTGCTAATTTTGAGGAATTAAAAAAGAAAAAAAAAGTTGGAGGTACTCTGAAGCAAACCTTCTGTTACTCAGTGAGCAAAACTTTCTGGAAAGAAGAGATAATTTTCCTGAGAAACCTGCAAGAAAAGTTAACAAAATTGTAATTGTTAGTACATAAAGTAAATTACTTTGGTAGCTGAAATATACTGTCAGTTCATTGAATAAAAATGCAGCAGAAAGCTTCTTATTTTCTTTACATTGTTCTATTGTTCCCAAAGAAAAACAAAGGAAAAAGGAATTGAATTTTGAGAATTGGTAAGATAAAATGAGAACCCAGTACAGTGAAAATATTTCGAAAAGTTCGTTTTTAGTTCACAATTGGGATTGGAGATGACTGAAATAATGAAAACTTTAGTTCACGAATTCAGTTCAATTCCTTCTCATTTCCTCCACTTTCTCAGCTACGAAACAGAGTAATCTGGATGAAAAAGATTTAAAAAAAAAAAAAAAAGCTTCTTGAACCATAATTCTATATCTTACTCACTGCCGACACTGAATTTTTCAAGAAGAAAAAAAAAACTCACTGAAAATGCTAAACTTGAACTCAAAACAACTATAATTCCCGCCCAATGTGAAGAAAAAAAAAAAAACTTTCATTGAGAATCCCGAGAAAAACAACAGCATTCCTAAAACCCAATTTGAAAAACCTCCAAAAGAATGAGAATTTCAGCTAACTAGCGATCAAAACAAGTTGAAAACCGCTTCATCCTTGTTTAAGTTAGCGGAACGATGTGAATTAGTAGTAGCAAAGGCAATTGTGTTTGAAGCAATACCTTGAATAAGAGAAGAAAAAGAGGGAGACAGGAAAGGAAAAGAAGGGAAATGAGAAAGTTTGAAAGGTGAGAGAGGAAGGAAACGAAGGCTAAAAAGGAGAGGAGAGAGGAGGGCATTGAAGGAATTATGGTAGTTGAGCATCTCCCTTCATTGCTAGCTGTCTTTTACTCTTCTTTTCTGTCTTGATGTTAAAGTTTTCTCTCTCTCCCTAATTGCCCCCCCGGGTCCCACTCTCTATTCTTTTCCATAATTTTTCATTTTTTTTTCCAAGTTTCAAATTTTCCATAATAAAAATTTTAAATTATCATATACATGTTTTTAAGAGTGTTAAGTTGATTTGATTAATTTAAAATCAAATTATTTAAAATTAAATTAATTAAATTATTTTATTTTTATTAATTAAATTAAATTTATAAATTTTAAAAATTAATGGATCAAATTTAATTTAATTGATTTGATTAATTTTTTATTAATTGAATAATAAATACATGTAAATTAAATTATATTTTAAATTTTTTATATTTTAAATAAATTAAATAAAATTATCTAATAAAAAAATTTAAATACCAAAACAAAATGTTAAAATCTTTAATAACTTATGAAATAAAATGATCAATTTCATATATTTTACATTTTATATTTGGATTTTGTATATTTCAATTAAAATTTTAGTTAATTTAATTAATTTTATTTTCAAATTAAATTAACAGAAAATTAAATTGTTTTAAAATGATTTTTGTTAATTATCAAAATTATTTCCATAATTGACCTATTTAAACAAATTAATTTATTTATTTAATTAATCCCATTAAAATTGAATTACGAACATCTTTATTTGCACTCACGTATATAACTAATAAAAATCCATTTATTTAATATTAATATCCTTTATTTTGTTTTAAAAATTGATCAATTTATTTATCTTGAATTTTTGTTACCAACAACAACAAAATCCTTCGTCAAATCAAAGGAGACTGAAATTTTACCAGTAAAAAGAAAAAACTACCAAATCCACTATGAAGCTTGTGGTTTTGGGATAGAGAGTAGAAAACAGAAGCTTCATTGGCTTTGCAATTTGCTCCCATTAATGGAATGGCTTTAATATGCAATTTGTCTAACCAATTTGAATAAATACAAAATTGATTGAGGTGATGGCACAGAATTCAATCCTTTTTAAATGACTTTCTCCTCTTAACCCAACTGGTTAAGAGGCTGTTAGAAAGTCATCTAGGCGAGGGTTCAGTCCCCGCCATGCCCCCTCTCCTTTTGTACGGGCATTAGCCTCCTTTAAAACCAAAAAAAAAAAAATCATTTTTAAAATTTGATTTTATTTCTGCTTGATATTGTTTGTATTTAATTAGCCATACTTTTCATGGAGATAATGAGAGTTGATAAGAATAATCCTTAATTTTTTTTTTAAGCTATGTGAAACATGTCGGTAGGTACATTTGATTGGATACATCATTATATTGTATATCAATATTGAATTTTATCATTATACTTTAATTTCATTAAATAATAATATTATATTTTTAATATTGTTAATTTTTTAACATAAAATAACAAATTTTATGAAAATTTATCCTTTACATTAATATAATATATTTATTGTACTTTTGTTACTGTTTTTCCAAAAACCAATGGGGTGCTTATTTCTTATCAATGGTAATTAGCATTTGATTCAGACAAAAATAATCATCCCTTTTAGCTTTCCCTTTTTTGAATAATTTTAATTAAAAGTTAAAAAAATCAATTTTTTTAGTTGATATTGACTACTTAATTATGAAATTTGATGAATTAAAATCTATTAACACCATAAATGTCTTCAAGAAAACAATTGTAGATATGCATACATATAGTGAAAAAAAAAAAAGAAAAGCTTTAGCTGAATTAAAGCCATATAGGCATTGTTAATCAATTTTAGCACTTTGAAAAAATTGGTCAATGATCACTAATTAATTGGAGCTCTCTAATTTAATGCAAGGCACCTTGTAAAATCTTGACTTTGTAATTAGATACATGTTTTGGTGCTTTTATGTTTAAGTTCAAATCTCATGGCATGTTTATTTAGTTTAATTTTATATTATTTTGTTTAGTTAATTATTTTTTATTAATTTTTCTATAAATATAATATTTGATATATATATATATATATTAGTTAAACATGCATTTCATGTAAGAACTCGACTGTAGGATTATCCTCCCCCACCATTCATGACATTATTGAAGCTGAATGTAATGTTCTCTATATCAATGAAATTATCCTCTATATATTAAAAAAAAAAAAAAAAAGTTATGGGTTTTGAACAAATTTTCTGGGTCCCTCTCACTCATTCTGAATTATTTCCTTTCCTTTTAGGAAAGCGAAAAGGTCAGAATTTAGTAACCGGCAAGTGAATGACATTTGGGGCATTCTTGTAATTAAAAGGGAAAAATATATGTAAAAGAGGTAATTTGCTCTCATTGGCTGGGATTTGCCTATTATTTTACAATATTACCCTGCAACACCTTATGGGAATTAATTTATTTTTTCTTCATTTCCACTCCACCTTGTAGATGGGTGCCACAGGTCGTTCAAAATTGGGACGGGCAAATTTAGGGTGCTAAATTTAGGATTAAAAACAAAAAAAAAAAGTGTTTTGGTCAAAAAAAAAAAAGATTGATATTTTTCTTTTAAATATGAGGAAAAGGTTAATAAAAGTGACTGCATAACAGAAACATGTTTTGGGATGTTAGGCTCTAGAAAAAATGATGAACCTCACTCACCCAAAATCAAGATTCAATACTCCCTTCTCCTCTCACTCTCTTTTAACTAACTTGAATTGCACTCTATTCATCAAATCCTTCCAAAATACTTTCTTCTTTTTCTTTCTTCTTCTTTATGAAAAATCTGCTAATATATGTTGCATTCTTTGAATCACTTTCTTCTAAAACACTTCTCCCCTTGTTTCAAAAAGTAAAATTAGGTTGAAATCCATTTAATTTTTATATGTTAAGTGAGAGGGGTTAGACTCTATGCACTGTAAAATTTGGATATGTTGCAATAATCAAACAATGGGTTCCTCTTCAAAACTATGGGAATGGAAAAAATATATATGAATATAATCATATAGCTTGGTGGTATCTAATTCTATTTAAAAAATAGGTCATAGGCCTTGGAATTAGATACTATTGATGATTGATAAGATGAAAAAAAAATGTTAGAAGGTTATTTCTAGTTTGTTGGTTAATTAATCAATGTCTATAAGAAAAAATGTTTTTCTTTTTTGTATTTTTCTTTGTTAAATGATGTGATAGATATAAGTATTTTGAGGAATGATCTAAAACATGCATCATTAGAAGTATCAGCCTAATTTCTTAAATATTCTTTTTTGAGAAAATGTATATTCTTATCAATTTTGAATTTGGAGGGTGCTTTTCTTATTTACAAGTTGTACAAAGATGACAATTAACTGTTAATGTGTCATGTGTGACACACATTTTAATACAATTAAATGTTAACGTAGCATTCTCATAAAAATATGATAAGCACACCATTTCTTCCCTTTAAAGACAAGAAGAGGAAAGGTGTTGGGGCCATGTATTTATCACGATGTCTTAATTCTTTGACACATTATGTAAATAAAATAATTTATTAACTATATCTACAGAATGCATACATGTATGTTGGCATAATAAACTTGGTTCAAGTACCGAGTTTTTTTTTTTTTTTTTTTTTTATCAATAACATTCATTAGTACATAAATAATGGGAAGTCCCACCCCCCAATAAACTTTCATGTGTTAATAAGGTCAATGTGTATGTAAAACCAAACCTATGGAAAAAGCACATGCCCTAAAATAGGTGCCCATGATTCAATATTTCGAAAATTTCAAGTTTAAAATTGATACTAGTTAAAACGTTTGATTCCTTAATTTGCCTATCACATATTATTCCATTGTAGCTTTAATTAATTAGCAAATCCCCTCTACGACTCACTTAATTGTACACGCTTGGTTGTCAATTAAAACGTTTAAATACATTATTTAAAAAAAAATTTTAATTCAAAGTCTATACTCTCTTAAGTTCTATAAATTATGCATAAAATGATGATATAAAATTTTCCGACAAATGATTTAATACCAGTTGATCGTTTTATTAAATTAAAAATATATTTTGAAAAAGATGTAATACGAACGTTCAATAAAAAAGACTTTTAGGAATTAGTTGTCACGTACACATGGAGTTGATGAAGGAAAGGACTTTGTAACCTTCCTACATTTTCATGACTAATATATCCTTTACAATCTTGTTTATTAATTGACATGGCATGAGCAAAATCGTAAATTGGATTCGACATCGACGTGGTGATGCCAGCACAATTGACAGAGCGGGTGTGTGGTAGTGTGGTCATGTGCGTCGTGCGTGCAAGCAAGCAAGTAAGAGGGCCCATGCTGATTATGGGACCCATTTAGAAACGTTGAAACCGTCGGTTGCACAGGTTGTTTTGCTAACGTGGAAGGGTACGGATTCACCCTGTTTCCAGTGGAGCCCACAACAGCGAATTAAAGCTCGCCCAGGTCATGCTAAGTTCAGTGTACTCAGTTTCTAATAAAAAGAGTAGCAAGCACGTGACATGGGGCCGGATGACACATGACTATGTCTTGATACCCTAATCCTGGAATACTTTTGTCTATTTGGCTAATCATTCTCTGCCACGTTGTCAGTGCTGACTTAGCTTAGACGAAAGTACCCAATACGAATTGTTTCTATTACCTATTAGGATCTGTGATGTTCCTTAGACCATGTGTTCGGTGGGTCCACATTGCAGAATCAGCCGTACGCGACAAAATGTGATGTGGAGGACTTTGGTGGGGCCAAGTTATGGTATCCGAATTTACAATTGAATTACCTAAATGCTCCTTTATAAGTTTTTAAGAGTCACATTACTCACTCGGATTGGTTAAGTTTTGGTCAATTTTTTTTAGTTAAATTATATTGGATGTAGATTATTTGAGTTAGTATCATTTTATATTAAATTAATTTTAATTCAAATTTGATTTGAATCAAACGAATTTAAATTCTT